CCCCCCCCCCCCCCCACACACACACACACACCGCCCCGGTCGCTCCAATCGAACCGGCGCACGCGCCTCCTCCACCTGCCCCCATCGAAAGCAACCCATCCCGACCACGCGAAGCAGCCCGAACCCAACAAGAACACAGCCGAGGCCTGGAGGCGCCAACAGAACACGCCCATTCAGGAGTCCGCCGAAGCCGCCGTGCCGCTCGTGGCGCCAGCAGCTGAGCCGATCGCTATGGACACGGCCAGTCTGGCGCACCTTCTCTATGTCGTCGGCTCCATGTGCCTCGGCGTCGGCCTTTGCGTCCTCGGCGTGCTTTGCTTCTTCTTGCCGCACACCGCCGCCGAGATGTACGGCCTCCCGCTGCAGGCGGAGTGCTCCGCCCCGGCGCGCCAGGACGAGGCGTGGGTGCTGGCGACTGGCTTCCGCGACCTCTTCCTCGGAATCATAACGCTTGCGCTCTACCTCACACAGCCGCAGGCGATGCGTGTCTTCCTGCCTTGCCTCGTGCCGCTGCCGCTGGCGGACGCGCTCCTCGCCCTGGCCTACCAGGCAGAGCCTCTCGCCGTGGCGACTCACCTCGGCGGCACATTCGGAGTGCTGGTCTTAGCGATCGCGGCGCGGTGCGACCCGGCGCTGGATTCCGCGGGCAAGGGCCGATCCGCGTGAGGCCGTTTTTTTGCCGTGTGCACAAAATGGGCGGTGTGCATCTGTGTTGCGGTGTCTGCATCTCTGGCGTTGACGGATTCTGCGGTTTTCCTCCACGGCTAGTGCTAGTCCCCCATCGGGAGGACGACCCCGGCTTAAAAATGCCGTAGCCGTAGCCCGTAGAGCGTAGTCCGCCGACCACACCCAGGACAAAGAAACCCTGCACAAAGATCGCACGGGCGGGGACCTGTTCCTTTTTACCCATCTCACAGTAGAGAGGTGTCCGTTTTTATTTATTTATCCACGGTGTGAGTATGTGTCCACAATTCTGAGGCGCTGCGGGTGTCCACCGCACGACATCACACGTAGTCATTCGATGTTCACGATGCAGTGGAGGACTGCCGAGGGCCCTCGGATCGCCTGGCCCCGAACGGCACCTTGTCCTTGACCGACTGCCAGTTGGAGCTCGACGCGGCCATGCTGCCACGCTGTGCCTGTGCCGTGTCGGCTTGGGCTCCGTCGTCCGAGCGTGGCACCAAGCTCCCGACGGACGCGGCGGTGAAGTCGGCGACGTCGCTCGGGTACTTTGCCTGCTGGCTCGCGAGGTGGGCGCCCGACTGGACGAGGCACGCCTTGATCCCGCACGAGTTGCCACCACGGATGTCGGTGTCGAACCGGTCGCCCACCATGCAGATTTTGGCGAGGTCGCCGTCGTGACCCTGCGCCTTGAGCATCCGGATGGCATGCTCAAACATAAAGACGTCGCCTGCGCTCGGCGCGGCGCCGACTCACGCCTGGTGTGGGGAAGGCAGGGGGCTGTTGCTGGGGGGATGGAGGCGTTCCGCTGCGCACCATGCGATCCGCCCTTGCCCGCGCACGCAGTCTGCTCGTCCTCGGCGGGCGCCATCAAAAACTTCATCATCGCCGCAAACATGCCAGGACCCGGGAGCGGGAAGACCTACGAATGTTTGGGCGATGAGGGGGCGGCCGCACGACTGCCCTCTTGGTGTCTGTGCGGTGCACGCCATGCCCGGGTATTCTGGGTCCTCGGACGGGTTGAATGCGTCGTCTGCAGTGTGGGTCGGGGGAGGGGTCGAGGCTGGCGGCGGTGGCGGGGGTGGGGGTGGCGGGGGTCGGCACGGGCTTACGCCTTGGGAGGTGTCCACTGAGGCGGCCGGCCAAAAGTCGACGGCGGTGGCGACGACGGCAGTTGCGATGAGGGTGACGGTGGGAGGGACTCCTCAGCACCACTGCTGCACTGCACAAAGAGGCCGTCGAGCCGCCCGTCGGCCGAAGGCTGCTGCGCGTCACCCGACGACGCAGCGCGACCTCGGGAAACAGCAGCTAGTGATGAAGCCGCGGGTGCGGCGCCAGTCGTCTCTCCCGCTGGGGAGGGCGTCTCCGCGGCCTCACCATTGAGCAGTGAAGCGTCGCTGCATTGCACAAAGAGGCCATCGAGTCGGCGGTCGGCCGGAGGTTCCGGCGCGCCTCCTGGAGGCGTGGAGCGATCAGGGAGGGCCAATCCCGAGGATAACGTCGCTGGCGAGCTGGCGAGCGCCCCACCCGGTTGGGGGCGCGTCGCGGCGGCCTCAGCATTGAGCAGTGAAGCGTCGCTGCATTGCACAAAGGTTGCTCCGGTCGGACGCAGCGGCGCGGCTTCCGTCGGGGCAGGGAAGGTGAAGGGTGCGGTAGGCGATGGGAGGCTGCTGAGGGGAGGGGGGTACCGAGGGTGGAGCGGTAGAGGTACGGCGGCGAGGGCGGCGGCGGCGGGGAGGTGCAGGAGAAGTAGTGCGGCAAGGAAGGGTGTCGGAGATGGCACTCCAGACGGGGCCAAGGCGGGCGGGCCGAGGCGGGCGGGGCTGGAGGGAGGCGTCACACCCAAGCAACCAGGTGGGTTGCGAGGGTGCGTGATCCGCCGCGCGCCTCGGGCGCGCGGCGCAGCGGCAGATCTGCCTGTTCCATCATGGAAAGCAGCGTCGCTGCTTGGCACAATGGAAAGAGCAGTTGGTCCGTCGTCGGCCGTGCCGGCGACCGTGGCCGGCGCAGTGGCGCCGGAGCGTGGACCGAGTGGCGCAGTCGCGCCAGTCGAGCCCTGGCCCGCAGGCTGGGGCTCGGACTGCCAGTCAGCGGTGCTGGTGGCAAAGGCGCTGCTTGGCACAAAGCAGCCCGCGCAAGCGAGCAAACTTCGTACCACTTGGACAGACGGGTCGGGCGGGTCCATGTCCTCCATGCTGCGGCGTCGGGTGGGCTTTAGCGCGATCCTCTGGGCGCAGGTACGTCGACGGCTCGCTGGCGCGTGGACAAGGGCGGAGGCCCCGGTATTGTTGTGAGTCGTGAAGGTGTGTGACCGTCAACACCCGCCCCGCGTACCCATATCGCGCTGGTGTCCCAGTCGTTGGTCGGGCTATGTTTCGCCTTCCCATCAATCAATCGTAAGATAAGCTAAGGCAAACTTCTCCAACAAACACACAAGCTGGTGGGCAAGGAAGGGGGGGGGGGGGGGGGGAATCCCTCGCAACTCCCCGTCTAGACGAAAGGGGCCCCCCGGGATTAAAAGTGCACGGCCCAATGCCCGTGGGTGAAGTGAGGTGTGTGTGTGTGTGTGTGTGTGTGTGGGTGTGTGTGTGTGTGTGTGTGTGTGTGTGTGTGTGTGTGTGTGTGTGTGTGTGTGTGTGTGTGTGTGTGTGTGTGTGTGTGTGTGTGTGTGTGTGTGTGTGTGTGTGTGTGTGTGTGTGTACTCAATACTCACACGACCCCTGACACCTAGTCAGTCACGTCACTGCCTGGTCACTGCCAATCCTCCGCCGCCGGTTCCTCACCTCCCCGCGCGTCGAAAGTTAAAACCCGTGGGAGCCCAGTACTAACGCCGTATCTTACTGCTGCTTTAGGACACTCGACTCCAACACCCCAGGGGGTGGCTCTCGGCCAAACCGGCGCTCTCACTGTCCTGCAGCTCTCTCGCTGCCGGCTGCTCTCTACCAGTACGCCCTCGGGCCCCACGTCCCGTTGGTCATCGCCACCCCGGGCGGCAGCAGCACGCCCGAGACCCACGGGCAGCCGTCGGCCATCGCCCGCTTGTGTCGTCGCAAGAAGGAGGGCCTCATCGGACCGGAGGTGGCCTGTTCACGGCTGCAGGCGTGAAGAGACGCCGTCCACAGCTGAGGGCCGCATCGCACCGCAGAGTGGCCGAAGCGGAGGGTGTCCGCATGTTGACCTGTTCACAGCTGCACGTGTGAAGAGGCGCCGTGTGCGTCTCGGGTCCGGGGCTGTGTTTTTGTGTGAAGAGACGCTGGAGGGGCGGCGGCGGCGGCGGAAGGGGGGGGGGGGTATCCTCACGGCAGCCTTAGGGGCGACTGCGGCAGCTCTCAATGCTGGGCACTCTCGGGTGATCTCGTTATCTCCGTCAATCCCGGGCAATCTCGGGCAATCTCGTGTATGCATTCCAATCTCGGCCAATCTCGTTCATGCTCGGGGACTCACCTCGGGCGACTGCGGCAGCTCCTGGTACTTGAGCCAGCAGTCGCCGAGCGAATGCTTGTGAGCGTCCGGCTCGAAGCATGCCTGCGACGCGTGATGCACCGAGCTCTGTCTGGTGCAGACTCCCCTGGGCGGGGGCTCTGCCCGCGTGTCGTGAGAACTCAATCTCGTGCGACCTCGTCCCGATCTCCCCGAACGGCTCGCCATCAAGGCTGGCCCCAAATCTCCCCACATCTCGAAGCCTAGGGAAGGAAGGCCCACACCCGAGGCGGACACAGGGAGTAAGGGCGTGGGGGTATGTGTGCATGGTCATGGGGCATGGGCCCTACTGCGAGGAGGGGGGGGGGGGGGGGGAAAAGGGGAAGGGGGGGGGAGGGGTACCGACCCCAAGTGAACCCACGGAAATCTTGGGGGACACATGCAGGGTCCCCCCCCTCTCAAGGAAAGGCTCCGTGCCGTGAGAAAACTGCAATCTCGATCTCGGGGGAGCTCGTTCCGATCTCGGGGGATCTCGACGCCCAAACCTGCCTCGAGGACCACGTCCAGGTGTTGCAGGGAAGGCCTACAGTCTGAGTACGCCAGCCTCGGTGCGGGAAGGCGGTGGTGTGCAGAGTCTCGCTCCCGCGTATCGTGTCTGCACACCACCGCCCCCATGTATTCGTGTCGCTCCCGCGGTGGTGTGCAGAGAACCGCGTGAATGCGAGCGGCACGAATACAGCAGCGACCGCTGAATACGGTCGAATGCGGCGGAGTGCGCGTCCTCTCGAGCGCTGGTTGGGAGACAAGCACAACACGTAGTCTTCGTCTTCTTGCGGCAGAGGCCCTTGAAGGGTAATCTCGGGTAATCTCGGGCAATAAAAAACAATCTCGGGTAATCTCGGGTAATCTAGGCGCAGGCCCTTGAAGGGTCCCCCCGAGAGGGGCCCACTGTAGTAATCTCGGGTAATCTCGGGTAATCTCGGGTAATCTAGGCGCCAGCCCTTGAAGGGTCCCCCCGTGAGGGGCCCTCTGTTGAAGGCGCGGCACGCCTAGATTACCCGAGATTACCCGAGATTACCCGAGATTGCCCGAGATTAGTTGAAGGCGCGGCACGCCTGGGCAAGGTGAGGTCAGGTGAGGTAAGCTAAGGTTCTCCACACACACACACGAGGTGGTGGGGCGAGGGGCCAATCTCTAGTCCCTCGCGACTCCACGTCCCGCCGACAGGAGCCCCACGGCAGAGAATTCGTGGTGCCGGGGCAGCAGTCGACGTGGGGTGTCGGCAAAGTACGGGTCAATCTCGCGCAATCTCGCGCAACCTCGCGCGATCTCGCGCGATCTCGCGCAATCTCGCGCACTCTCGCGCCTCCTCGCACGCATGCCAGCTCTGCTTCTTGTGGCCGATGCCCCACCGCACGCCCAGCCTAGTAGTTATTAATAGCCTAGAAGTTGTTAATCACGATTAATAGCCTAGAAGGTATTAATCACGATTAATAGCCTACAATCTCGGGCAACCTCGGTCAATCTCGGTGAATCTCGGGTAATCTCGCCCGTCGTAGTCCGCGGCGAGGTCGACGTGGCCGACGAGCTGCGTGCCTAATCTCGGGTAATCTCGGGTAATCTCGGGTGATCTCGGGCAATCTCGCGAGTTGACGTGGCCGACGAGCGGCGCGCCTAGATTACCCGAGATACCCCGAGATTGACCGAGATTGACCGAGATTACCCGACATCACCCGAGATCGCCCGAGATTGACCGAGATTACCCGAGATTGCCTACACAACCAACGAGAGGCGGCGAGAGGGTGGATCCGTCCAACCAAAGTTCAGAGCCGAGAGACTAGAGCCCAGCCGAGATCTAGCCGAGATCTAGCCGAGGTCCAGCCGAGATCTAGCCGAGATCTAGCCGAGATCTAGCCGAGGTCTAGCCGAGGTCTAGCCGAGGTCTAGCCGAGATCTAGCCGAGACTGGAGCCGAGGTCCAGCCGAGGTCCAGCCGAGGTCCAGCCGAGATCTAGCCGAGATCCAGCCGAGGTACAGCCGAGGTCTAGCCGAGGTCTAGCCGAGCTCTAGCCGAGGTCTAGCCGAGATCTAGCCGAGATCTAGGCGCGATCTAGGCGAGCGCCGGCCGCCAGCAGCTTCTCGTACAGCTTGGCCGTCGGCGACTGCTCCAGGCAGCCGGGGACGACCTTCGAGTACGCACCCGAGATTACCCGAGATTACCCGAGATTACCCGAGACTGCTCCAGGCAGCCGGGGACGACCTTCGAGTACGCACCCACGGCCGGCGACCCGCAGGCACGCGACGTGTTGCAGACGTCCTTAGAGATGCAGCCTACGACGAGTCGCGAGATACAATCTCCGAAGTAGAATCTCCGAGATTACAATCTCCAGCTGGAGATGCAGCCTACGATGAGTCGCGAGATACAATCTCCGAGGTACAATCTCCGAGATTACAATCTCCAGCTGGAGGTGCAGCCTACGATGTGTCGACTCGGCGCGCATTGCCGCAATAATCAGGCATGGCTTCTGCTCCCGCCCTTGCATCGGCAAGCCTATAAGTTGGTCCCCGCATCGCCGCGATTCGACCCAGCTTTCTGCACACGTCCTTACTTTGCAGCCTATAAGTCGATCCCCGCGTTGCCGCGATTCGACCAAGCTTTCTGCACACGTCCTTTATTTTGCAGCCCGAGTAGACAGCGGGAGGGACACAGTCGGCACACGGCTTGACCTCGAGGTTGACGCCGCTGTGCCACGGGACGGCGGGGCTGCCGGCCTGTTCACAGCAGGAGCTGTGAACAGGCTGGTGCTGTTGCGCCACAATGGAGCGCTGCCGGCCTGTTCAGAACAGAACAGGCGCTGTGCAGAGGCTGGCGCCACTGGGCCACGGAGAACGGCAGCGCTGCCGGCCTGTTCACGGCAGGTGCTGTGCAGAGGCTGGCGCCACTGTGCCACGGAGAACGGCGGCGCTGCCGGCCTGCGCGACACGCGCGACCGATTTGCGGAGGTCGTCTGCGCTCTGGTGCCTACGTGCTGCAACACACCGACATCGGGGCGAGGTACCGGACTGTGCAGTGTGTTGAGAGCACCGCGTGGATAGAAAACACGAATACAGTGAATACAGTAGCATGCGACTGAATACAGCGAATATGCGTCCTTTCGAGCGCTGGTTGGAATGCAAGAGACGTATTCCGCTTCTAAGCTCTGGTGCTTGAGCCAGCACTCCTTGGAGATTGGGTGCCACACCCACGCGTTGCACTGCGCGCCACCGCCCACGTCGAGCGAAGGCTCGTACTCGCGGCACGAGCGGCAGCAGTCGGCGGCCGTCGGCTGGTCATTGTCGCCGCCGGCCTGCACCAGCGAGCCCCAGAGCTCGAGGTGCTCCCTCCCGCTGCAGTCGGCCGCCACGGAGGAGGAGGCGCTCGAGGTGGCTGGGCCGGGGGCGGCGGGACTGGGCGGAGGAGGCGACGCAGAGGGCGGCGGCTGCGAATGCACTGATGGCGGCGATGATGATGCAACGCGCAGCCGGCGCCTCGGAGGGTCTCTGTACGTAAGGACATTGAGCACAAACACGAGCAGAGGGACGGCGGTGAATACGTACACTGCGCTGCGCATGTATGTGCGCACGACTGCGGCGCCCGGCCACCCAGCAAAAAAAGAATTTCACGCCAAAAATAATTCTTTTAGGCATCGAGTCCCTTTAATTTAGAGAGAGAGAGATTTTTAGCAATACCAAACAACTCTAACACCCGAAAAGCTCACGCGAACATATATTATCCTGCTCGGCCGGCCTGCATCGCTGTGCACGCCCTGCTGCGCTGCTGGTGCTGCTCCCACCCTCGCGCTGCCTGCAAGATAGTGTCCGACTTCGCCGCGCAGCCTGCGACACTATCTTGCCTCCAAAGGGCTCTACACCGCTCTGACGGCATGAGGTCCTCACAACCAGAGGCCCTCACAGCCAAGGTCTTCACAGCCAGAGGTCCTCACGGCCAGAGAGAGGTCCTCACGGCCAGAGAGAGGCCCTAACGGCGTCGAAAAGGCGGTCGCTCGCGTGCTCAAAGGAGGTGAGGGCCAGCGTCGGCGCCTGTTGATTCGTGCGTGCCCTGCCCCTCCTCGAGGACGGAGGCAGGGTAGTGTGTCCGGGCTTCCCCTTTGCTTGCGAGAGATTTATCTTGGCGTGGGCAATGAGAGGAGAAGTCCTGAGGGTTTGGGAAGATAGTTGTGCATGAGGCAACGGGTGGATCGCCGTGCATTCTCTCCTGGTTCTTCATCTTCTCACCACCATCTCGTTGTCTGTGTGTTCGCGCCTTCCCGGATAGGCGTTAGCAAGTTTGGCCTCGTTGCCTGCAACGTGAGTTGTTGAATGAGTAAGGGGTGTGTGTGCGGGTTGTTGGCTGACACCCAAGAGATGATGCGAGCCCCCACCACAGGAGTCGACTCCCACTCCGGCGCCCGCCCCACCCCACAGGTTAGGTTAGGTGGAAAGGTGAAGAACAGTCTAGCTTCACCTCCCTACCTACCTCACCACAAATGCTCTCCCTACTTGACAAGTCAAGCTAATGCCTGGAAAGAAAGAGGTCGACGGCTGTCAGGATACCCACCTCACGCCTGCGAGAGGTCCTCACGCCGGGCGAGAGGTCCTCACGGTTCGTGGTTGCTCGTCTTGCGCGCCCCTTCCCTACGCTGGCGGCCCGCCCCGGGTCGCGAGACGAGACATCACCCCGCCCGTGGCAGATCGTGATCGAGCAGCAGTCAACATACCATGCACAAAAGCCTCACCCATCCGGTTATGTATAGTGGTTCTCTCTGATGGACGGACCTTTCACCCAGTTTTTTTCTTTTTGAGCTAGACTTCGTTGTTAATGAAACAAGCGAAGGGACACACACCAGACATTTTTTTTATTTAATACGTGCGTGTGCCGACCGGAGTTTTTGTGTGTTGTCAGCCGCCTCTGGACGTCAGGCCGCTAGGGCGTTGTTGGCGACGTGCTGGAAGTGGCGCCCCGAGACCTGTTCGATCCCCTTGTAGTATTTTTTTTTTTTGAGCTAGACTTCGTTGTTAATAGGAACAAGCGAAGGCACACACGACATGACGCCAAACACACGATTGCACGCACCGCACCGCACCTCGCACCCGCACCCGCCGCCCCCCCGACCCCCGCCCCGCCTAGGTGGGAAAGAGATGAGGAGATGGGACAGCAAAGGAGGAACCCCAAACACGTATGGGAGGTTTCATTGATGCGCCACGCTGCCCGGCGTTTCTCACTTTCCGGGACAGCCCCGCCCTTGTGAGGCAGGAAAGTGACGGCTACCCCGTACGCCCTGGTGCTGCTACCCCAACGCCGACCGCCCATTCCCCCCTCCTCGTTCCCCCCTCGGCGAGCCGATGATCGTCGAGCTTCTGTCCTGCGCGCCCCCGAGCCCCCCCCCCCCCCCATTTTTTTTTGCTTTTATTTCGGCCGGTTTGCTTGCACTGCTCTCTCCTCTGCGTCCGCTGCCGGGATCCTTCGCGAGCCCCGACGGCACAGGGCGCCTCGGAGGCTCTTTCGCGCTCGACGGCGCCGACCTGAGCAGCGGAGGCCTGTCCGGCACGAGATGGACACTCTCGCTTGATGTCGGCGCTGAGCGTGGCACGTGGATGCCGCCGACCTGGGGCAGGAGCGGAGCCCGCGCCACGCCTCGCGTCCGCGTCGAGTTTGCAGAAGACGGCGAGCTGCGCATCCTCGAGACTGGTCCGTACGACCGCGTCACTGTTAGCTGGGCAGGCGCCGGCCGCTGGACGCAGCCGGCGGGTCGCGAGAAGGCAGAGTTCTGGCTGCCGCACACGGGCCTCGCCAGGGACGATGTTGTGCTCGAGGCAGGCAGGCTGCACTTCTCTGCGCCGGCGTGGGGCGCGCAGCTGAGCCGACGGGGCGGGACCACCATTCTAGATGCATGCCAGCTAGCGGTTTCCGACGAGCACGCAGAGCCATTGCCTTCTGGCTTCACGCGGTGCTCTGGTTGCATTGCACGATGGCGTATGCTCACACCCCTTGGCGTGCTGACAACGCAGGCTCACCATCAGGCAATCCAAGCTGGGGTGGATACCCTTTCTGCCGACGCTGCCAGGCACCTGACTGCTCGAGGAGGCGGCTGGAGCGTACTCCAGGAACCTTCTCTGAACCTTCCTTGTAGGGACGGAGGGCTCGTTCATCGTGGGCACCTTCCGGGCGGCCCGGCTGGAGGAGGATGATGGGCCGCTGGGGGCCTGACGAGGCCTCTGGGACGTGGGCGCTGTTCCATGCGCGCAACGCACATCCACAAGTAAGTACTCTACGGCTTGTGTCGTTGTGCACGTTTCAGCCGTTTCGGCATGTTCACATGATGCATGGGTTGTGCGCTATACGTTGCGCCGTTTGTGAGAAAGAAATGGGTGCAAAAAGTCCACGTTCGCGCGCCGCTGCCGGCGGGCGATGGGCGCGCGATGCAAAGTCTTGATGGGCAAGCCGCTGCAAGTGGATCAAGCAAGTATAGCAAGTACTCTCGCGGCGAACGAGGCGGGGCGCAAGTCATCGCGCCTCTAGCCACTGCCACGCGTCACTCCTCCTCGAACGTCTTTGAGGCGATGCCCTGGCCCAAGCTGGAGATGTAGAGCGTGCTCTCGTACCACTGCGCGACGCCGCCGGACATCGCACTGTAGTCGCCCGACTCGTCGGTCCACGTGTCGCCGTCATCTCGGCTCACCCACACAAACAGCTGGCCCGCGACGCCGGAGAGGGCGAGCGTCTTGCCCGACCACGAGTACTCGGCGGTGAGCTGCCGGCGGGCGACGCTCGCGAGGCTCTCCATGCGCCGCCACGAGGCGCCGCCGTCGTTGGTGCGCAGGGGCACGTCGCCGTCGCGCAGGACGATCTGGTAAGGTAAGGTAAGGTAAAGGTCAGGTAAACTCCTCCACAAGGTGGTGGGGCAAGGGCGAGGCTAGTCCCTCGCGTCTCCACGTCTAGACGACAGGAACCGCACGGCAGTCAAAGTGCAAGGCCCGGCGCGCGTGGGTGAGCGGTGTGTGTGTGTGTGTGTGTGTGTGTGTGTGTGTGTGTGTGTGTGTGTGTGTGTGTGTGTGTGTGTGTGTGTGTGTGTGTGTGTGTGTGTGTGTGTGTGTGTGTGTGTGTGTGTGTGTGTGTGTGTGTGTGTGTGTGTGTGTGTGTGTGTGTGTGTGTGTGTGTGTGTGTGTGTGTGCGTGGTGCGTGCGTGCGTGCGTGCGTGTGTGTGTGTGTGTGTGTGTGTGTGTGTGCGTGTGCGACCTGGTGCGTGCGAATACGGCGCGAGGGCGTGAGTGACTATCTCGTTCCGCGCATCGGCAGCATCGCGTGGATGCAAGGGCTACGCATGCACGAATGCAGTGAGCGGTAATGCGGCGGTCTGGATGCCGCATCTGGGCGCAGGGACCATCGTCCTCGAGTCCCTCACAACCAGCTGGCGGAAGCGGCCGGTGAGGCCCGGTGCCTTCCAGCAGGGAGACCAGCTCTCCGCGTGGTCGGCGCTGTGCGAGATGCAGCTGCCGCCGCTTATCACGTAGATCGTATCGGTGGTTGGATCGGCGACGAGGCCTGCCGACGCCCTGCAGGAACGGCGGTAGCCGCACCCACGACCAGTTGGCACCAAAGTTCGAGGCTTTGCGATTTTGGGGAAAGGCCCAAAAGCCGGGGTAACCACGTCACGCGCCTGGCCGGTCCGGTGATCCGCACGGCGTCAGGGGGGTTGGAAGACGGTGTCTTGCAGAGTCATCGGAGCACCGCGTGGATACGAGGGCACAGCGAATACAGTATAGCGAAGGCAGGGGAATACCCACCCTCTCGAAATCGCCACTCTCACGGTGACTTGGGCTCGGCAGCTCGTCAACCCTCAGCCGGTCCCGCGGCCGAGAGAGCCCGATGAGTTCGGCGCGGTCTCTCGAGCGCAAGTTTGAATACACGGGTGTGTTTATCAGCTAGGCCCGCGCGCCGAGCGGCCGGTGCCGGTGCCGGTCACGTCCAAGGCCATGGAGGTGATCTCGAGCTGGGAACGGCCCGCGAAGCCCAACTTTCGCCCCACCGAGTTCCTACGTGCTGAATACGTCAGCCTCGGGGCGGGAAGACGGTGGTGTGCAGTGTCTTCAGAGCACCGCGTGAGTACGAGGCGCTGCGAGTGCTGTGAATACAGCGGAAGGCAGCCGAATACAGTTGAATGCGTGTCCTCTCGAGCGCTGGTTGGAAGACACGAACCCGTCTAGGACACCTCGAGATATGGGGAGATATGGCGGAGATATTCCGCTTCTAGGCCGTGGTTCCACTCGGAGCACGTAGCGTTGTACTCGAGCTGGCCCTGCCTCCACAGCTTGTGGCTCCAGTCGTCCTCGTCCTCGCCCACGCCGCCGCCGCCCTCGCCGCCGCCGCCCTCGCCGCCGCCCTCGCCGCCGCCCTCGCCGCCGCCCTCGCCGTCCCCGCCGCCCGCGCCGTCATGGCCGATTGGCGGGAGGGCGGGGCGCGCTCTCCGCACAAAGCTCACGGCGCCCTCGCGGTGCCTCAGTGAGCCCGCCGCGCACAGGGTGCAGGAGCCGTCCGTCGCGCCTAATTAACTACTTATTCATAAGTAATTAACTAATTAGTAGAGCAGGCCGCAGCAGCTGTCTTTCGCGCCTCGCCAGACCGCCGCGGCGCCTGCGCACAGCGGGAGGCGTGGAGGCGGAACAAAGGCGAGGTAGAGGCAGGGCAGAGGCGAGAGGCCGTGAGGCGTACACACCAGGAGCCTCCAACGGCGTGCAGCCATCTCTCGGCCTTCTCCCGGCTGTATCTCGCCTGCATCTCGACTATACCCCGGCGATCCGACGCCTGC